CAAATCTTGTCAGATCCATGGGCCACTTTAAAGAGTTCCAGCCTCTGAACTTAATTCTATTGTGAAACCATGGCCATTTCGACGCTGGGCTATTGACTTAATTGGTAAGGTGTATCCTCCTTCATCAAAAGGTCATTCATTTATTATAGTGGCAACGGATTATTTTACCAAATGGGTGGAGGTTAAACCAATGAAGAAGGTAGACCAATCTGATGTAATCAAGTTCATCAACGAGGACATTATTCACAGATTTGGTCTGCCAGAAACGATTACAACAGACCAAGGCACAGTTTTTGTCAGCCATCAGGTGGAGGCATTTGCAAAGGAAATGGGTTTCCGTTTGTTAAATTCTACTCCTCATTATGCACAAGCTAATGGGCAGGCGGAAGCTTCTAACAAGGTGGTGATTAATTTGCTTGAAAAAATGGTGGATGACAATCCCAGACGCTGGCATGAATTATTGTCTGAAACATTGTGGGCTTATAGAACTTCACAAAGGAGTTCAACCAAAATGACACCTTTTGCCTTGACATATGGCCATGACGCAGTCTTGCCAATGGAGCTAACAGCCAGGTCTTTAAGAGTGATGATTCAGCATAATCTTCAGTCTGGAGAATACGATGAGGCCATGATGCTTGAACTTGAGGACCTTGAAGATTCACGTTTGATAGCTTTGGATAGATTGCAAGCCCAAAAACTCAAAGTTGCAAAGTCTTACAACAAGAGGGTAAAAGGTAAAAACTTGGTAGTTGGTGACTTGGTCTGGAAAGCAATTTTACCTCTTGGCAAGAAAGATCACAGATTTGGGAAATGGTCTCCAAATTGGGAAGGACCATTCCGAATTCATGAAGTGTTGAGAGGGGGTGCTTATTGGTTGGAGTCACTTGATGGAGAGCTTCATCCTAGAAAAATCAATGGAATTTATCTCAAGCCTTATTACCCTACAGTCTGGGAGGCAAGAGGCTTAGAGTCACAAGAAGCTGTCTGAGCCAGGTTTATATTTTTGTCTGTGCATAAATAAGTTGATTTGCTTTTATGTGTTTATTCCAAAATGAGAGCAAGTTTGATCGAGCGGCCATGACTGGCTGTGGATGGCTGGATGCGCTCAGACAGAGTCAGCTGTGAAAAAGTTGGGAATACCTGCTACAATCATCTTGGGATTTAGCAGACTTTGCACGTGGCCTTTGGAGTCTAAAAGGTAATTTAAACACTTGGATTTATTCCCATAAAACCAAGTGTTGGGGGGCATTGTTTACACCTAAAATAAACCAATAGGGTAAGGCCACGTGTCAAGGTAAAGCCCAATTATCAAGAAAATCAATAGGCTGGATTTGGGCTGGGCTGGGCTGGCTTACAATTTAACGGCCCAGACGGATTTCCAAGGAGGTTGGATCTTAGGTGGCAGAAGATAAGATTGGATCTGGTAGTTTGA